TATTTATATTTTACTATAGAGCAATGTTCTTCAGTTAAACATAGAGTGTTAATGCTGTGTTCCTAGCATTTATCTATGTAAATGATCTATGTAAACTTTCAGATGCTTTTTCTATGTAAATGATCAATCACACCTCGGGGCCTCAACCCCCCTCAGATGTTCTATAAATATTCTAGCAGCTGAGGGTATGGTGCCCCCAGCAGGTCAATCTGTACCTGTGAGGCGAGTGCATCAGCAGCCTGATGGCATCTTCAAGACTTCCAGATACCCCAAAATTGCTGCCGTGCCTTTGGCCAGACGCCAAAAACTTGGTGCAGAGTTTACCAAGAAAGTAAACGTCCAAAAGTTAGGTATGTGGGAGACACACCCACAAACCACCTCCGGCTCAGCTATGGCCTCTCTGGTTCCTGATCGAACTGCTTAACGGCCATGATCCCAGAGTCTCAGAAACAAATCTCGAAACCCAACAGCTTTTGGAAGAAATGCATCTGGACAGCGCAGTAGGTTACTGTCGCCGGGCCACCCCAGGAGGAAAAGGTTGCTGTCCCTCCGCCTGCTCCCCCTTGGCGGCCTGGTGCCTACCATCTTCCAGAGGCCATTGGACAGTGAGATTTGCGCCCGCAGTGATGAGACATGTGGGGCCTTACGGGTTGGGGTGGAGCCAGCCCTTTCCTCCCCATCTCAACAAGACCCCAAGTCACCATCCACGAACAGCCTATTTGGCTCCTGATCAAGCTGCTTAATGGCCATGATCCCAGAGACTGAGAAACGAATCTCGAAACCCAGCAGCTTTTGGCAGAAATGCATACAGATCCTGCAGTAGGTTACTGTCGCCGGGCCACCCCACGGAGGAAAGGGTGCTGCCCCTCCACCTGCTCTCCCTTAGTGGCTAGGTGGCCACCATCCGCCAGAGGCCATTGGATAGTCAGGTTTGGGCCCTCAGTGATGACACGCCGGGCCTCACGGGATGGGGGTGGAGCTGGCCCTTTCCTCCCCATCCCAACAAGACCCCGAGTCACCACCCACGAACGGCCTATTTGGCTCCTAATCAAGCTGCTTAATGGCCAATATCCCAGAGACTCAGAAATAAATCTCGAAACCCAGGGGCTTTTGGCTGAAATTCCTCTGGATTTAATTGTTAAAATTTCGGAATTTCAAAATCGCGCAGTCACTACTGTAGCTGTACAACATCATATGTCATTCATAACCAGCAATAGAAAACAAATTGTCTACTGTTGCCTTTTCAGCAGATCTGAGTGTTGGGGTAAAATCCCAAATAATAATGGTCGGTCTGGTGTCAAAATATTGAATGTGATCAAAGTAGAGAGAGAGTAATGTGGAAATCATCTGCCCCCCAGGTAGGGGGAGGGTGTGGGATGGGGGTACACTGGGGTTGTTGGGGGTGGAGAATGGGCACTGGTGAAGGTACGGGTGTCTCATTGTATGACCGAGACTTAAACCTGAAAGCTCTGTAACTGCTCTCATGGTGATTCAATAAATAAAATTATAAAAAAATTTTTAAAAAGTATGCTAGCAGCTCTGCATTAAAGGGGCCATTTTCACCATCAGACTGTGGTCCTCCATCTCTCTGTCTCTCTGCTGGGAGGCCTGGGGAGGATGGGAGGCAGCTCTGGGCCAACGACCCCTTCCCGCAGTTGCCACAGAACCTCATATTATTTTGTGAAATCACAGCTTAGATGCTGGCCTTTCATATGGCCTACACAGTTCAATCCCCCACATCCCATGATCCCCTGAACACCGCTAAAAAGGATCCTTGAGTGCAGAAACAAGTGGGGGCTGGAGCAATCAATAGTACAGCAGGTAGGGAGTTTGCCTTGCATGCAGCCGACCCAGGTTTGATTCCTAACATCCCATGTGGTCCACTGAGCACCGCCAGGGGAAATTCCTGAGTGGAGAGCCAGGAGTGGCCCCTGTGCGTTGCTGGGTGTGACCCAAAAAGCAAAAAAAAAAAAAAAAAAAAAAAAAAAAAAAACCCCAAAAAAACACAGAATAAGTCCTGAATCTCACTGGGGCGTTGACCAAAACCTGAAACTTAGTAAAAAAAAATAAAAGATACAAGAATCTTCTACTTTGTCCAGTACAAATTTTTAGTTTCTTATTACTTATTATAAGGAAATATGGGGGGGGGGGGGCTGGGGAAACCACAACAGAGCTAACATTCAGAATTTGTATGGGGGAACCCAGGTTTGATCTGTTCACCTAGTCACCCAAGCACTGCCAGAAGCAACCCTGAGCACCATACTGGGAGTAGCCCCCAAGAACCCCCAGGTGGGGCCCATTTGCCTCATTCCTGCCAAGTAAGCGTCTCAGGGGCCCACTGAAACAAAAACACGCTTAATAATTTACAGAATAATTTACAGCTGTGTAAGACCACAAAGTATAGGGACTGTAACTGGCCTGTAACAAACTTTGTCTTCCATTGCAAAATGATTTTTTTCTTTAGCTTACATAATGTACTATGTCTCATGTTCCTCTGGGAAACTGGAGCCAGGAAGTTGAAACAAATGGCCTTGGTATTTGCTAGCCTCAGACAAGTCGGGAATTGCCTATCCTTTACAGTGGCCAGGTGGGGGACAGACAACAGTACAGCAGCTAGGGTGCTAGCCTCGCCCGGGGGGGTGGGGGGCAGACCCAGGTTCAATCCCCAGCATCCCATATGGCCCCCCTGAGCACTGCCAGGAGTGATTCCTGAATTAAGAGCCAGGAGGAAGCTCTGAGCACTGCCAGGTGTGGCCCAAAACCCAAAGGGAAAAAAAAAGCATCAGGTGAGACATTAAAAATTCTGAGTTGGGGCTGGAGCACAGTGTTTGCCTTGCACGCAGCTGACCAGGGTTCAATTCCCAGCATCCCATATGGTCCCCTGAGCACCGCCAGGGGGAATTCCTGAGTACAGAGCCAGGAGTAACCCCTGTGCATCGCTGGGTGTGATCCCCACCCAAAAAAGAAAAAAAGGAAAAAAATTCTGAGTAGTAAAAGTGGTGCTTGGGGGTTACTCCTTCCTGGTAGTGCTCTGGGCTGAACCTGGGCCCCCCACACCAAAAGCCTGCACTCAGCCTAAGTCCCTGTCCCGCTCACAGGACTGGGGGAGCAGTTAGGAAATAGATTACATAGACGTAGAGCCTCACATGGATAAGAAGCTGGGCCAATCCCTGGCACCATATACCCAGAAAATATAACCCTAATTGTATAATAAGCCACCCAACTCAATAAAGGTTACTTAGGGGCTGCAGCAATGGTATAGTGGAGAGGGGTGCTTGCAAGCACCAACTAATTTCCTACAATCTCAATAAGAGATTTCTAGATTTTCAATGTCTGCAAATCAAGCCAGTGAAAAGCATGGTGACACGGTTTCCCATCTGTCTTTTTTTTTAACTTTTATAAAGTAGTTCACAATATTCGATTATTCAAACACCAATCCCACCACCATATTTCAGGCGTCTTCATCCCGAACCCCAACCCCTGCCCCAAAGCAGAACTGAAATAATTTCTTTGTATTGTTTGTTATGAATAAATCTCTAACTGTAGCATTGTAGCACTGTCCTCCCATTGTTCATCGATTTGCTTGAGCGGGCACCAGTAACGTCTCCATTGTGAGACGCTTTTGGCATCTCAAATATGCCACAGGGAGCCTGCCAGACTCTGCTATTCGGGTGAGAAACTCTCAGCTTGCCAGGCTCTCCGAGAGGGGCAGAGGAATCTAACCCGGTCGGCTGTGTGCAAGACAAACACCCTACCTGCTGTGCTATCGCTCCAATGATCCAAAATACTTTCCTTTGGGGCTGGAGAGATAGCACAGTGGGTAGGGCGTTTGCCTTGCACGCGGCCAGCCCGGGTTCAATTCCCAGCATCCCATATGGTCCACTGAGCACCACCAGGAGTAACTCCTGAGTGCAGAGCCAGGAGTAACCCCTGTGCATCGCCAGGTGTGATCCAAAAAGCAAAAAGATAAATAAATAAATAAAAATTAAAAAATACTTTCCTTAGGGGAAAGTGTGTGAAGATTGCTGTATTTCAACCAGGGGCATTAAGCCCTTCTATAAGAGATCACTAACATGTTGTTAAAGGTTCAGTCTTGTGTGTATATATATATACATGTATCACTGTCCTCCTGTTGTTCATCGATTTTCCTCGAGCGAGCCCAGTAACATCTCCATTGTGAGACTTTGTCGTTACTGTGTTTAGCATATCAAGTACGTCACAGGCATCTTGCCAGACTTTGCCGTGAGGGTGAGATATATACATATATATGTATATAAATATGTATATAAATATATCCGTAAAAATATATTTCTTCCCATATCTCATAATCTTAGGAATCCAAGAACTCCTGCTGTGAGATAAGTCAGGCATACAGTGACTTGGGGGGAATTTCTGTGCAATCTGCTTAGGCCCAAAGTTCTTGGCATGGTGATCAGGAGGAAGGAACAACACCAAGAGTTATTCCAGGGGCTGGAGCAATAGCGCAGCAGGTAGGGCATTTGCCTTGCACGCAGTAAACCTGGGTTCGATTCCCAGCATCCCATATGGTCCCCTGAGCACTACCAGGAATAATTCCTGATCGCAGAGATAGAAGTAATCCCTGAGCATCTCTGGATGTGACCCAAAAAGCAAAAATAAATAAACAATCAAATAAATAAATAAGAGTCATTATAGTGCTTGTTGCAGAATTGTTATGATGGGCTTCTACTGTACTGTAAAATTCAAAACCTGTCTACAGAAATGCCCAAGAGGGGCCAGAGCAATAACGCAGCAGGTAGAATGTCTGCCTTGGGCATGCCCCACCCAGGTTCCATTCCCAGCATCCCATATGCCCATCAGGAGTAATTCCTGAGTGCAGAGCCAGGAGTAACTCCTGAGCATTGCTGTGAGTGACTCATTCCCTCCCCCCCCCCCACACACACAAAAATGCCAAAGAGCCTGGCAGAAATGGCATTGGGCAGTCTCAGTGCAGTCACTAGGAATGTGCCGGCCCGACTCACCATCCAGCAGCCAGTGCTCGCCACGCCGGTTCTCCAGCTCCAGCATCATGAGGCGTGTGATCACGTGGTCCGGAACCAGAAGCCCCTTCTCGATGTACTGCTTGGCCATGTCACCAACTTCTGAGAAAGAGATGGGAGAGACACTCACCAAGCTGCCCACAAGCCCTACCTTGCTGGGGCAGGGAAGACTTGGGCAGATGCTTCTCGAGGGATTTTCTAAATACTGGCTTCCCTCAAGGCAGTGGTGGGCTCTCATACTTGTCCCCCTCAAGAATTACCAGGGGGAAACAACAAGTTATCAGAGCAACCCTCGGAGATCAAACAGAACAGGAGGGCCCAAGTGACAGTACAGCGGGGAGGGTGTTTGCCTTGCACGCGGCCAACCTGGGTTCAATTCCCAGCATCCTGTAAGTCCCCGCAACCTCCGCCAGGAGTAACTCCTGAGCATCGCTGGGTATGGCCCCAAAACGAAAACAACAACAAAAGAGACAGGAATAAAAGTGCAAGAAAAAGTTCATTATGCATACATAGGTTTTCTAGATTTTCACTAGAAAATCAGAGTGAAAAAAAACAAAGCTGGGGTTTAGCAAAGGGCTGGTGAAACCTCCCAAAACTTTCTTTCCCTTTATGGGGGCAGTATTGGGAACGGAGCTCAAATCCCCCCATGCCCAGCGCCAACGGGTTCCATCCCTGCCCTCCTCTCTCAGCCCCCAGATTCTGGTGATGAGGAAAATGTGCTTATCTAGAGGGTTCCTGGTGAGTGGAGCGAAAGGAAGAAGAAGCACAAACACTCTCCTCAGAGACTGAAAGAGAAAGGTCCCCCGGACTTGAAGAGAGAGTACTGGGTCATACAAACAATCACCCATCTTTATTTTTCCAAACCTCACCGGAAGCAGATGGTGCCTTGTGGGCACAGCTGTGAAAGCAAGTCAGTATCATCAGTGAATGGCCATGTTTATAAGAAGATGGAAATTAACTTTTTTTCCTGAGAAATGCTTCTAATCTTAATTTAAAATAATTAAGCAGGGAGAAGGGGAGTTAAAGATACAGCCGATAGTGCTCAAGGTAGACTCCGGGCTCTGTGCTCAGGGGTGCTCAAGGCTTCTTGCTTGCACAGCCCGGCCCCCAAACCACAGAGCTATCTCCCGGGCCCCTAATTTTTTACATGTTGAATTCAAAGTTGGTTTTAATAGAACCGATCAGGACTTTTTATTTTTTTTAAATAATAAAGATGATGAAGTTGTCTGCACTCCAGGGAACTCTGCTAATGAATCATTAAGAAGCACATTCTTGACAGGTCAATTACATTTTCGTAAAAACATCACACAGAATGAGATTACTGGGGGACTAGTTCAAGAAGCATTCACCCTGCCTCACCCTGAATTCATGTAGCCTCTCCACCTACCTCACCCTGAAGAACTTGCTCCCCTAGAGGACAGTACGACAGTACAGAGGGTAAGGTGCTGACCCAGGCTTAATCCCCGAGTACAGAGCCCGGAATAAGTCCTGAACACTTCTGGGTATGGGCCAAAAACAAACAAAAAATAACAACAATTAAAAAAAAAGTTAAATAAGGGGGCCGGAGTGATAGTACAGTGAGTAGGGCGTTTGCCTTGCACGTGGCTGGCCTGCGTTCGATCCCTGGCATCCCATATAGTCCCCTGAGCAACACCAGGAGTAATTCCTGAGTGCAAAGCCAGGAGTAACCTCTGTGCATTGCTGGGTATGACCCAAAGAAGAAAAAAAAAAGCTAAAAATAAGAAATAACTCATTTGGGAAGAGAATAAATACCTGAAGAGGAAAGCATAACAGTTTACCTTAACCCCATCCTTGGCACGGGCAAGGCATTATTGATCACATTCATTCTATCCCCTGGGCTTCGGGCTGGGACCACAGATATACATGGTTCAGTGGTAGACACTTGCTCTGCACGTCGGAGGCCCCGGGTTTGAATCCAGGTACCATCAAAAGGAAACTAGGACTAGTCATTACAAATAGAAAAAAAGGAAGTAAGTGGGGCCATAGAAACAGAACAGTGAGTAAAATGTTGTTCTTGCTTGCGGCCAACTGGGGTTTGATCCCCAGAACCCCATATGGTCTTCTGAGCCCCACCAGGAGTGATCCCTGAGTGCCCGAGTAAACCTTGAGCACCACAGGATAGGGCCCCCCAAACAAAAAATAAATAAAAAAGAAATGCATAACTCCTAAGTAGGGATATATAGAAGGATTTTAAAGAGATTGGGCTACATTATGGCTTAAAATTCTTCCTATAAGCTATTAGTGGCATTGGAATATATTTGGTGGAGCCATTTATGAAGAACAGTATCCAAAATGATACCCCTCTTAGATCTGCATATCTCCAAGATGAGCCATTATGTACCTTCCACAAACAGCTCAAACTTGAAGCATCACCTTCCAGGCCCGGGGTGGCTCAAAGGGCTAGAGCGCATGCTTTGCATGTGGGATGCCTGGAGTTCAATCCCTGGCACCGCACGGTCCCTTGAGCAAGCCAGGAGTTGGGCCCTCACCCTGGCCTGACACAGTGTCACCCCAAAAAACAAAACCACACAAAAACGGCTTTCTCTTGCCATTCTGCTTCTGCCTGGAGTCTCGGCCTGAGCCAATGGTAGCCTTTCTCTCAGATGTTACCTAAGACTACACACCAGCTGCTCCATCTTCTCGCCGTCTCCGGCTCTTTGTATCTGACTGAACAGGACGTTCTTGACATTCACATCCACAAAGGCTCTTGGCTCTCAGCTGACGAACAAACCAGCAGAGAGAGTCCGTGGCAGAGCACACTGTGCCAGCAGGGAAGAGACCAGGATGGCCTCGGGCTGCCATGGCAACGGGAGTGGGCAGGCTATCAGTCACTGACTCAGGGCAGAGAAGTGCGGAGTCACTCTTCAAATCCAACTGAGTCATCTCCGCAGAGCCAAGATGAGGCACCTGACTCAGGACTCGTAGAGCCACAGACAGACCCGCCCTCTCCCAAGGCTGATTGATCCCTGGCTGCTACCAAAATCCAAATTGTGAGGCTGGAGCAATAGTACAGTGGGTAGGTCGTTTGCCTTGCATGCGACTGACCCGGGTTCGATCCCAATCATCCCATAGGGTCTTCCGAGCACCACCAGGAGTAATTCCTGAGTGCTGAGACAGAAGTCACCTCTGTGGATTGCCAGGTGTGACCCAAAAAGCCAAATAAAAAAATAAGAATCCAAACTGTGTGCACATAAGATCAACTGACTGCCAATTCTGGGTGCTGAAAAACACACTGGGAGCACCAGGTTAGAGGGGGGAATAGGGGGATGGTAGGGGACATGGGCAGGGGTTGGGGCTCTTTAGTAGTGGAGGTAACTATGTACATGGAGACCACAATGTCAACACTACTGTCAACCCTAACATACAATTTTTAAAAATTTAATCAAAATTGCTATTAGGGACTTTTGCACATCAGTCAACAAAAGGGATAATAATGCCACCTAAACCAGGGGTAAGGAATTATTTTTCTGCCAAGGGTCATACGGATATTTATAGCATGATACTGGCATACGGGCCTCGGGCAGCCAATGATTCTCTGAATTACTCCTGGTGGTGCTCAGAGGACCCTAGCACCTCACTAGCACCTGTCTCATCATGGACCGGGGCAGAGCCTGTGACCTCAGGGTCCTTCCCTGTGAGTTAAAAATTCCCCTGTTTCGCATCTCAGGAGCAACCCACAGAGTCCAATCCCAGCCCTCCACTCCCAGCCCAGCAGCCCTTCTCATGCAGAACACAAGCTCTGAACCCTGACCCCTTTTTCGAGCTCCCCCCTCCCCACTGCCCTTTGCTCGACTCACAATTCCCCTTCCCTGCCACAGCGTCACCTCCATGAAGGCTGTCATGCCATCAAAACTCCACAAGGCGCTCGCTTTTTCAAGCCTGGCTTCTCCCTTGGACATGAATCCTTCCGTTGCTTTGTTCACTCAGAGACACCAGTGTTCCCGCTCTTCTTTTTTTTTCTTTTTGGGTCACAACCGGCTATGCACAGGGGTTGCTCCTGGCTCTACACTCAGGAATTACTCCTGGCGGTGCTCGGGGGAACCATATGGGATGCTGGGAATTGAACCCGGGTCAGCCACATGCAAAGCAAACGCCCTACCCACTATGCTATCGCTCCAGGTCCTGCCTGTGTTCTCTTGAACAGGTATTACTCTTTCTCTCCCCCCATGTCTTTCTTTTTCTATTCTTTTCTTTTTTTTTTTGAAAGGGGTGTTTTTGGGTCACACTCTGCAATGTGCAGGGGTTCCTTGTGGCTCTGCACTCAGAAATTACTCCTTGGATCATATGAGATGCCGCAGACTGAACCCAGGTTGGCCATATGCAAGACAAACGCCCTACTCGCTGTACTATCACTCCAATTTTTAACTCACTCCATCACCCCCCCCCATGTCTTTCTAAGCAAATTTCATCTATAAAACTATCTTGCTTCCCTATTAAAAAAAAAAAAAAGGCAGGGGGTGAGGGGAATGAAGGAACCTGTTAGTTTAGCAGGTAGGAATCTTGTCTGGCAGGCGGCTGGCCTGATTGGATTCCCACCATCCCATATAATCCCCTGAGCCCACCAGAAGTTACCCCTGAAGACAGAGGCAGGAGTAAACCCTGGCCCCAAAACAAAAAGAAATAAAAATTGCACAAGGACAAACACACACCCATCACCTACTGGTATCTTCTGCCGCCTTGCACTGTTTTTTTAAAACTCCAGAACTTCCTTGTATATCATATTGATGTATTGAGACCATATTTTTTAAGTGAAGTAATGTTTATAAGATTGCAGAAACAATTTCACCTCTTCAAAATATGTTACCACACCATACCAGACCTCAGTACATGTCTCTACCTCAATTCATTGGCATCCTTTTCTACACATACATGTGCACATGCGCGCGCGCGCGCACACACACACACACACACACACCATTAACCTCCTTTCTACAGGAGGAATGCTTTCTTTGGCTTTATCTGTTCTCTTGCTTTGCTTCTCTGTATCCCACAGAAGTGAGGTATTTCTTTTCCCTCCTGATTTATTTTGCTCAGCATAACATTCTCCAATTCCATGCTGTCTCATTTGGCATGATTTCATT